AAGAGAGAGAGGGAGATGGGGGTGGGGGGAACAAAGTCCCTAATACCCTGTCTGGTGAGTAACACAGCACAGAGGGGTGTAAGAGACAGAGGGAGATGGGATGGGGGTGGGGGGAACAAAGTCCCTATAATACCCTGTCTGGTGATGATGAGTATAACACAGTACAGAGCGGGGTAAGAGAGAGAGAGGGAGATGGGGGGGGGGGGAACAAAGTCCCTAATACCCTGTCTGGTGAGTGGTGAGTAACACAGCACAGAGCGGGGTAAGAGAGAGAGAGAGGGAGATGGCGGTGGGGGGAACAAAGTCCCTAATACCCTGTCTGGTGAGTAACACAGCACAGAGCGGGGTAAGAGAGAGAGGGAGATGGAGATGGGGGTGGGGGAACAAAGTCCCTAATACCCTGTCTGGTGAGTAACACAGCACAGAGCGGGGGAAGAGAGAGAGGGAGATGGAGATGGGGGTGGGGACACAAAGTCCCTTATACCCTGTCTGGTGAGTAACACAGCACAGAGCGGGGTAAGAGAGAGAGGGAGATGGAGATGGGGGTGACCGAACAAAGTCCCTAATACTCTGTCTGGTGAGTAACACAGCACCGAGTGGGGTAAGAGAGAGAGAGGGAGATGGAGATGGGGGTGGGGGCACAAAGTCCCTTATACCCTGTCTGGTGAGTAACACAGCGCAGAGCGGGGTAAGAGAGAGAGGGAGATGGAGATGGGGGTGACCGAACAAAGTCCCTAATACTCTGTCTGGTGAGTAACACAGCACCGAGCGGGGTAAGAGAGAGAGAGGGAGATGGAGATGGGGGTGGGGGCACAAAGTCCCCAGTTCCCAGTGCCTTGTGAGTCATGTAACAGAAGGACTAGGAGAGACAAAGGAGGTAATGTTACCATCTTTTGTCAGGTGAGGAACATTACTGAAACATGGCTATAATGAACCACAACTGATAAATCTTATGTTTTTGTGAAAACTTCCAAATAAGTCCACAAAATGTCTTTTGACACAATAACTGTATTTTCAAGACCCATGACCTGAAATTGCATTTCTGTAAAAGTAGTTAAGATGTCTGACATTCTACTACCACAAGCCCTCCACCTCTGGGTCGCAGGTTCAGGGCCTACGTGGGGCAGTTGCCATGTACTGACCGTAGGTCAGTGGTTTTTCTCCGGGAACTTCAGCTTTCCTCCACCACCAAAACCTGGCACGTCCTTAAATAACCATGGCTGTTAATGGGACGTAAAACACAAACAAACCAAACCAAACTGTAAAAGAAACTGTGTGTTGGTTACAACTTGAATAGGGGATATAATTGACAGTGTCCTCAGTGTTAATTAAGTTGCATGTATAATTGCAGTGTTCCATGTGAAGGTTCCGTGTACAGGGCGACTCAACAGGGAGGTCCACTTCGTCATTCAGATGGAGGTCAGCATCTTCTCGGTCGTCAACAAAACCGTCATTAACATCCGACGCAAGAAAAACTGCCAAATAGGTACGTCTGCTTATACTGCTCATTAACTATATAATCACAGCCACATACATGTCACCCTGGTAAAATACTAGCCGCTTCCTACCGTCTCGGCTAGGGAGAATTTCTCTTTAGCTCATTTGGTAGAGCGTAAGACTAGTAAGCCAGAGGTCCCGGGTTCGACTCCTAGTGGAGGCATTGAAAAATAATGACCTCTGTTACATTGGCGCCCACGTAGGGACCCGGGTAATATTGACAAAAATACTCAACGATACTTGCAAAGGAATCTCTATGACCCCTGAAAAACTCGGGACGAGTTCTTTCTTAAAGGGGGAGTATGTCACCCTGGTAAAATACTAGCCGCTTCCTACCGTCTCGGCTAGGGAGAATTTCTCTTTAGCTCATTCGGTAGAGCGTAAGACTAGTAAGCCAGAGGTCCCGGGTTCGACTCCTATTGGAGGCATTGAAAAATAATGACCTCTGTTACCTACAGCTCCTAACTTCTTAATTCCTTAAGAAGTTGTTATTTACAGAAATTCACTAATTATTCCCACAGGGTTAGAATCGTACATCTTATTTTCCATGCAGGATAATGATCATTCTTCAAGTTGTTAATCTATCTATTTGGAGTAATTTGAAAATACCAATGAAAAAAATTCAGAAAGGAAGTTCATAGGCTGTTGATAGCATAAGGATTCTGTAAAAGTAAAATAAGGTGATAAATGACACATTCATATCTGAATAGCCTTGGATTCGATAATTTTGTGAAGAGAACCCATCCTAGAGATGTATACATGTATAAGGGTGTTATGTTAAAAGTGAATAGATCTACTCATAATTATTACAGTAACTTTTCTATTTTAACATACTGAATTGTGTATTTAAAGAGACTGTACATATTTTATTTACGTAACGTATCTGTACATGTATTGGTCGCCATCCTGACCAGTCTTGTCTCCTAACAGACACAGCGTAAAGGTTGATTGTACCAGGTACATGTGATATAGTAGGTGTCGCCATTCTATCTCAAAGCTGTTACATATGTAGTCTAAATTTAGTTAGATTGTAAGCTGCAGAGTACAGCATTCTGAGACATTTGTAGAACTACCAAATTTCTAATTACGTCTCTGTGTAAAATACCAGAGGTGAAAATTGCCTGTATGGGAAATGTCATTTCAGTGATTGGTCAGCATAAGTCTGGAGCGTTAATGTCAGGGACATGTCGTGCTCATATCAGGATACATGTTTTGTCTCCTACTATATACACTCTAAATCTCCCACTGTGCTCCCTATCTTTCGTTTTCTCCCGATCTCCCATGGTGTTTGAAATTGCCTGGGATATTGGGTAAAGATAAGGCAAACCCAGGAACCCAACAACCAATGGCAAGCAAAGTGACTTTGTGAATAACTGAAATATTGACTTGAGTCCATGTTTTATTAACATTAAATAGTGTAACAGGAGAGGAAAATGCTGGGCTGGACCAGGAGTCAAACCTCAGGGTCCACAGTATTCTAAACAGATGATCTAACCAATTGAGTTACCTGGTCGCAGGTGATCGACCCAGACCAGTTCCTCTATACAACAGCACCAAAATTCTTGGAAGTCATTTGGTTTTGAATTTATCAAATTGATAACTGTGGATATATCTTCTAGCCTTATGGTATGACTAGTACTATTATACTTAGACATTCATCATGCACTCTGTACTATATCGGCTGGTATGATGCTAGGTATGATGACACTGTTGTAAATGTGATAAAATAGAGTGACTTTTTGTCCTTGATAAAATCATTATCTTATCAATATCTGTGAAATGTACAAGATATCATTATGTTAACTTTAAAAGATATTGCTTGTTAGAAGTATCCGATATTAAGTTAACTTTGATTAATTTGGGTGAATGATGAGGACATGAGTTCAACTTCTGTGTTGATGGGCGTGGGTTGGACATCTGTCGCGGGTCAGTTTTGTTGACAGAAGTTTAACTTTTGTGGGCATGTTTGTGGGTTTTGGTTCGATGACTGTTTTTGTGAAGAGTCAGTCGGTGTATCATCTCTCCATTAATTCTTAAAATAATTGGTTTGATGTTGTTTATCTTGGTGAAAGGTTTACATGTCTGATTCCAACTTCATGTCAAAATGTATAAAAGCGGAAAGATTTTTTTGGTTTAAAATGATGTTAGTCAGTGCATTTCAAGAAATACCCTGGACCATTGCCACTGTTGTAAAAAACCTGTTTCTATGTCCTGTAACGGTTTACGTCCTGTAACGGTTTACGTCTTGTAACGGTTTATGTCCCTGTAACGGTTTACGTCCTGTAACGGTTTACGTCCTGTCCTGTAACGGTTTACGTCCTGTAACGGTTTATGTCCTGTAACGGTTTACGTCCTGTAACGGTTTACGTCCTGTCCTGTAACGGTTTACGTCCTGTATCGGTTTACGTCCTGTCCTGTAACGGTTTACGTCCTGTAACGGTTTACGTCCCTGTAACGATTTACGTGTCCCTGTCAGCTTTTACTGTCATGTGACAGCAGTGGTTAACATTTATCAGCAATAATGAATTTGTAAGATTTATAACAAATGTTAAATATGATCATCTTCCCTGATCTAGATCTGTTCAAAGTTTGTTCCAGTGTTAAAAATGAATCAACAGACATTTTAACAAGAATTTTACAAATCTATAATAGCATGTGTTCACCGTATGGGATATCTTTCAGAAATGTGTTTTAGTTCAATTTTTTGAAAAAGTCCAGATTTTGAAACAAACAAAAAAAATGAAAAATCCATGCACCTCGGGGTAAAAGTCTGGTGTTATCTGTGGTTTACAGTCACTTCTCCAACATGTGTGTGTGATCTGCGGCTGACTGTTTACAGCATAGTTAACATCAATACTTGGTGTGGACATTTTTTCAAAAATGTCTTCAGCAGTTTTTTGTGCAATTTATCTTTAGATGGTGATATCAAATACCAGTCACATGTTTTACGGTTAAAAACTCAACATCAATAGAAAACTGACAGGATGAAAGATTTACATAACACCAGCTGGGTAAAGCTGACCATACTTGATGAGGTGAAAGTCGGACAGCTACAGTTACCAGGGGAGATGTCTGGGAGATGTACATATGTAAACTTTGTTTAATTCATTTTATGTACTTTTAAATGTTTTACTGATCATATTTGATCCAAATCAACTTCACACACCTAACCATGATAGAGTTTGTTTTTGAGAGACAGATTCATGGAAAATGAAAGTTGGCTGGGTTGGGTATTGGGGATTTACCTCCTGTTACACATGTTAACTGTCTCACGGCTGAATAGAAATCTTGAATCTTGAGTTTATATCTTCAAACATATGTTAGTACGCATTGAAATTTGGAAGAAATTTTGAAAACAAGCTTTGCAGTATGGATAAATAATTGTCACATTCTCATTGTATTTAAATACAAGTAGTTAAATGAAATTTGCATTTAATCAGTAAAACTGTTTAGGTAGAAGGTATAGACTTTGTGTCTGAATGTCATGTTAACTCATTTTGACCAGAATGAGACAAAAAAAGTCTGGATTTGTTTCCTGTATCTGTATGGTACAGGGAGAATAAGATCTGTCCCAGACACGCTGATGTTTTATTAGCTACAGGCAAACATTATCTACAATCGGATCATGAGGGTCAATTGTTTTTCTGACTTTTGCTGGTTTCAACAGGTCTCCGGTGTTGAAATACACAAATTCTTGAATACAGAATTACTTTGTGTACTTCTGGTGATTAGTGATGGATAAAGACCTCTTTATGGGTCCCCACCATAGCCCCCTAAAAGGTGCTGAGGGATGCCATTGATGAGAAATAGATAGCTCCAGGTTTGTTTTCCAGTGAAACCCAAAACTGCTTCAAAAGCACAGTTACTGCCTCAATGGTGCAGGGGTTTGAGGCATGAGGTCATAACAGATCAAAGGTCATCTCGGGTCAAACAGGTTCAGATAAACATGGATACCTCCTTGTGTATTAATGAAGTTCTCTAAACAAAACGCCCCTCTAACTGAGCATGGATTGATCTAAATGAAACATTTTGGATAAGGTTATTTTCATTCAGTGGGTTGGAAGGTATACATTATTTGGATTGATTTACCTGCTTTGAAATTATAATACATTACTGTGGTTTTACATGCAAACAGGTGCAGGGGGCAGGAACGCAGGTTCACCTGGTTTTTGTGTCACTGAGAAACTGTATATCTGTGTTGATACACAACACCATAGGACCAGATATCGACTCAATCAAGCAAGTTTCCTCACAATTGTATTTGTAAAAGTATCATGTTTTCATTAAGTTGATTTTAAGGATAACATATGAGCGAGAGTTAATCAGTTGACTGGTACTGAGCCCTGGGAGACTTAACAACTGTCCTACCGTACTTTGTTATTGTGTTCATTCACAAATCTCTTTTCAGTAATATCATAGTATAAGTCCCTGTACTTCTCAATGTAATTTGTATTTGATATAACAGATATCTTGGGTATGATGACTGCTTAAAGACTTTTCTATACTTTTACGAAATATACAGCTAGGAAAACTGTTAGTGAAAGTGTATATGACAAAAAAACCACACAAAATATGTCACATTAAGGAGCTCATTGACTGATAATGTTATACTCAATGTTATGACACAAACAACACCACTTTCTGTTAAAGAGCTTGTGGCAGGAAACAAGTACATAACACTTGATAGTTGCATGATAGAAAGCATGAAAGATGATAGTAAAGGTTAATGACAAACTCACTGTTACTTTTCGTGAGCTCTTTAAGAAAAAGTCTTCTGTTATTTGTTCTTTTTCTTAAAGAGCTTATGAAAAGTAACAGTGTTAAACTTTCTGTTGAGGAGGTCATGAAAAGTAACAGTGTTAAACTTTCTATTGAGGAGGTCATGAAATGTAACAGTGTTAAACTTTCTATTGAGGAGGTCACGAAATGTAACAGTGTTAAACTTTATATTGAGGAGGTCATGGAAAGTAACAGCGTTAAACTTTATAT